AAAATAGCCCCTAACATAAATGTTATAAATTTCTAGCTCGGTTTATACTTTTATAATATCATTTGATAGAAAATTCATGAAATTATATCTGAAATGTTTGCAGATTCGATCGAAAAATCCAACTCTCGGATACCTACCCTAGGCAATAACAGTCAAACATCATTATCTCAAAATTCATTGCTTTTATCGACATGAATATTCCGAATACTACATTTAATTAAGAAAATATGGCAGAATGACCCTGCGTATACCGAATCTCTTTATAACAACAGTATATATTTTCCTTAATGTTGAAATAATACCAGCCATGCAAAAACAACTCTTCAAAAACAGTTCATTTGAAGTCTATCTTCAATTAAAAGACAATGCAAAAGAAGAAATGACAACAACACCAATATAATTCATTAATATATTAACATATTAAATGAAGTATGAGATATTCCGTTCATTCAGGTATAATTCCCCTTAGTTTATATCACTTTTTATACAGCTTATGCACAAATGTGCAAATAAGCCTCAGATAGAATGGTATAAAATACACAAGTTATAAATTTCAACATGGACACACATCTAACAGCAAACACTGCGCGGCATTTTTCTCAAATCTATCGAAGAAATAATATATTGTGTGCATTAACCGTATAATCAGTATCGAATTGTCAGGTTTTTAAAATCAAACAATACTTCTCAAATTAATGGGAGATAATTTGAAATGATACAAGTGTCAATATAGGACATGCTATTTATAGACGTGTTCAATCGATAAGCAGTTTACTTAATTTAGCACTTGAAATTTCATTGATCAAATAACGTATCGTCAGGAGATGTAACTAGTCATATATTAGTACTGTCATCTGACCAGTTTGATTAATGAAACATTTTACATCTTGCAATATTATATTTAAAATTTTGTAGAATTTTGTAGCGTATGAGGTATCGATGTTTAATCACAGGCTCTATCATAAGAATACTTTGCTAAATCTTTATTTGCACTATTCTTTATATGGCAATATATGAATAAATTTACAATATGCACATTAGATAAACGGATAAACTAGATGTTTTCATTCGAATGTTGCAAGCACAAAATCAAAAATGTGTAAGTGATTGATGTATGTACTATTCTTAAGGGAATTCCTCTTATTGAATAATGTCTTTTTCACATCCCAACTAGTGAGGTTTTCTTAAATTGAAGTTTTATCATCGGCACAAAAATACGTAATAAGTGTCGGATTGGTTTCAGATTTGGTTCCGTATTCACGAAAAGCATGTTAGATGTACGCAATTTCTTTTTTAATATATAACCTTGCTATTAATAATATTTTCCGAGAAAAGAAAATCACTTATATACACGTGTAAGATCAACATTGCATATTTTCTTGCAAGCTCATAAGAAATTATCTGATTCTTTTTACTATATCAAGAGGTGACCAAAACAAGTTGAAAGACTTACGGCGACAATTTGGTATTATTCAGGTTTAAATTATGGACATATAAATATTTCATCAATGGAATTTGAGTAAATTTAAACAAATAACGATAGGGTTTCTAATAGTTGTTATCAAACACAAAATGTGATGCTCATTTATTTGCTGAAGTCGCAAGAGGTCATGTTAACACGATTGTTCCAAATTTTAGACTTTTTTAGTTTTCCTTGATGTACTGTCGATGTTTTTTTTTATTATGTAACCAATAAATTTTTAATATATGCACCATGTGATTTTCTGATATACATCATTATTTGATTAAATGATATGAATTGAGATAGGTTTTCATATTTGAAGTACAATCTTTCCATATCAAGTTAATATTGTACTCTTTTTAGTGTCATTACTTTGTCAGAGTCCTACAAACTCGCAAGAAGTCATGCGCACTATTTTTTTTTAACTCGGACGATGTCATACAGTGTCGCTGCAAGAAATCATGTGGTCATGGTCCAACACTTTGCCCAGAATTTTAACGCTTTTGTCAAAATGCCTCCTGCGGAGCAACTGGCAAATATATCTTTGTTAATCATACTGGTTTGCTTTACACTCAAAGTGCATATTTCAGGTTTAAATATTTTGTGTCATTGAATGCCAGAACTTACTCAGCACGTTTCCTATCAGTTATTCGCTGTGCTATAATTCCATCAGAAAAAGTCATAATATACATCATTTATTATTTATTTCATTAGAAAACAAAATAACTTACTCTCTTTGCTCAGCTTGCAACACTTGGATGATCACCAATTAATATATAACTTTGCGATTTGACATACTTAATTATTATCATTATTGATAAAGGGAGATAACTTTAGAAAATAATGAGGGACTTAAAATATATAATTTCCCTTGGCAAAAAACCCCCTAGAATTTATATAAGTTTTCGAGGAATGGATGGCCGAAAATTGTAGGTCAGTTTCAAAAAAATATAGATGCGCCGTTATTTGTAAACATACATTTTATTTGGATTTCAAGGAGTTTGAAGCTCAACATCGCAATTGTATGTGCTTTAAATAGGTGCGCCGTTCTTGACCAATTTAATTTTATAATAACGTACCTAATACTTTACTATAAAAAGTTTCAGAATAATGGGAGATAAATCTGAAATGATACACGCGACAAAAGAAACTTAAATTTAGGACATTCTATTTATAAACGTTTTCCGTGAAAGGAAGTTCAGCTTGAAGGTCACTATTTTTCATTAAACTTTTAAAAAGGTAGATTTTATAATTAAGAAAATTTTAATCTTGTAAAGTTTGGAATGGTTTTATTTTGCATGCTGTATAATAGTCATACTTGAAAACAGGTAAGATAAACTATATTTTAAACAAACACTTAATTTTGTAAACAAATATAAATGTATTATTTATACGCGTTTAAACATGCTTAATCGATAAGTAGTTTACCCAAAATTCAATTTATCACGTAACGTATCGTAAGGGGATGTAACTGGACATATCTTGAGACTGTCATTGAAACTGTTAATTAATGAAGCATTTATATCCTGCAATATTATTATTTAAATATTTCACAGAATCCGGAGAATGTATGATGATTGGCTGTTAAATTGACCTTTATCTATAACTAGCTATAACAGTATAATAATTTGCTAAATCTTTCTTTTCACTGTTCTTAACAAATGCTCAAGATACCCTGAAGCTTAACGGATTTATAAATGCTTTGTATCTCATTTGGATGTTGCAAGCTGAACGTTAAAAATTGACAATTTATTTCGTGGTTGATGTATGTTTTTCTTCTTAAGGGAATTCTTCTTATTGTATATGCATGTTTCACATCCAAACCAGCACAGTTTTCTTAAAATCTTAAAATCAAGTTACATCATCGGCACATAACACGAAATGTATATCGGACTGGTTTCAAATTTTTTTTCTATTCACGAAAAGCATGGTAGACGTATGCAATTCATTTTTACTTGCTGTTAATTATATTTTCTGAACTGAAGCGTGTTAACGACATTCGTTTAGATACAATGTATGCTCGAAATGTGATACAAGTGTAATATCAATATTGTTTGTTTTCTTTCAAACTCATAAGCTATTGTCCCTAAATCTTACTTTTTAAATTAAAAGTAAATACATTTCAAGTTTTATCTCATTTTCATTGTCTGAGTCCTACAAACTTGAAAGAAATCATACACATTTATCTATTAAACTCGTAAGAGGTCATTAAGTGTCGTTACAAGAAATCACAAAGTCATAGTCTAACACTTTAATGCCTTTTCTCGAATGCGTCTCTCGGCACTACTGGCAATATATCTTTGTTCACCATACTGATTTGCTTGACGTTTAACGTTTAAATATTTTGTGTCAAATAAATTCAATTTTACACATGCGATACTTATTTGGCATGTTTTCTATCAGTGTTATAATTTCGTCAAAAATAGCAGAATATCATTTGTCATTCACATCATTAGAAAACATAACTACTTATACTTTATCAGAATTCGCGTTTTTTCAGTTTGCAAAATCCGAGTGAAATACAGCTACATTATTATGAATATAACTGAAGGGAGATTATTTTGAAATATAATAAGCGACATTCTGAAATAACTACCCTTGCGCAAAACTAGGGCATGCTATTTATAAACGTTTTTGGACAAGGAAGTGTAATAGATCTAAAGAAAATGTAATTAATTCATTTTAATCGTGGAAAGGTCGGATACTAATATACTTGTTACAAAAAATAATTGCAAAAGGTAAGATTTTTTTCTTTTTCTTAATATTTGTTTCTTTGCGTCTTTACATAAAATATCGATGAAAAAAATGAGGAAATAAATCATACCATGTTCCCTTAATTGTAGATTAGAAGCCTATATTTGTGAGACGCAAAACTAAATTGAAAATTACTTAAAGTAAAGGATATTTGACCCATTGTTTTTGAATTACAGCAATATTGTGATATTACTATGCGATATACAGATTTAGAAAAGTTATAACTTACTTTTGGACGTAGTTGTTTTATTAATAAAGGGAGTCTACCTTGTACTGGAAAGCTGTTCAAATCGTGTAAAATTACGTCCCTTTACTTAAGAAAGGTCATACTAGTGTCACAAGGATCATGACCTTTGAATGTGTTCGTTTGTTATCGAATTATGATCGATGTTCAATCAAGAGTTTAATTGATTAATTAATTGTTGATACCTTAATGAATACGATTAATATCGTTTAATACAACCAATTATGTTTAATCAAATTTTATTGATGGGTACCATTATTAATACATAAGAAATAGAATAATTTGTTTGCAGCGTAAAGCAATTAATATTTTTTCTTTTAATGTCAAATAAGGTCATTAGTCAGATGAGATATTTCTTTTTCATTGGAAAAATAAAATGCTACACAGCGATCGATCACGCAATACACATAAATTGATTTTCGTTTGTGATTAATAAACTTTAAGATGTAATTAAAATTTCGTTATGAGCCAAATTGAATAATATATCCTTTTTAGTAGAAAGGAAAATAATGATAAAAAATTCTATATTTTGTATTCCAGGAATGGCCGTATCAGGACGTAAACAAATAGACCTGCTAGGATCAGTAGCAGCAGGATCAGCAGAAGACTTTGATCACTGTTGTGAGCCATGTCTTACCACAGGTCAACATATAGAAGCTCACGGGTTTTGTGTCACTTGTCAAGAATACCTTTGTAAAAATTGCCACGATGTCCACAGAAAAACCAAAGTCTCACGAAATCATCAAATTTTGCAGCGTTATGATTTTGATAAGATTCAAACTACAAGAAAATCAAACAATGAATGCACTGAAATGTGTCAAGTTCACGAAAAAGAAATAATCAAATTTTATTGTCCATCACACCATGCACTCGTATGTAATGATTGCATAGTTTTAGGACATAGAACATGTAAAGTTGATTACATACCTGAAAAATGCGTAGGTATCGCAGATGGGACGGAATTCGGTGACGTCATGCAAAAACTGGGAGAAAAATTAAAGGAAGCTTCAGAAATTTCGAAGAAGGCTAAAAGCAGTAGAAGCAATATAAATGATTACAGTAAAGAAATCATCAAGGCGATCACTGAATTCCGAAAAGAAATAAACGACCGCCTTGATCTGATGCAAAAAGATGCTTTAAATAATGCCGAGGAAATAAAGTCCAACAACAACAAAATTATTCAGCACGTCCTTGATACATGTGAAAATACGATTTCCGGTATAAAATGCTTGCAATCAAGTCTACATGCAAGCAAATCAAATCATGAAGACGGTCAACTGTACATTGACATGAAGCGGGCAGAATCTACACTAAAATCATATGAATTGAATGACGCAGAACAAACGTTAATGCATACCAATATGCACTACTCATTTCAACGAAATTCTGAACTGGAAACATTGTTCTGTAAGAAAATGGTCTTCGGTGAGAGTGTCAATCATTCTCGTCATGAATCGACAAAAGTTATAAAAGCTGTTGATCGTCTGATTGAGAAAGGAGATATCAATGTTAAAACGTCATCAGATAAGATGACCTGTCATATCACAGGATGTGCAGTACTCAACACAAATAAACTAGTTCTAGCTGATTGGGAAAACAAGAAGGTAAAATTGATATCTATAGAGAACAAACGTGTACAAGAAGAGAAAGCTCTAGACTCAGGGCCATGTGATATTGCTGTAATGTCTCAGGATCTGTTCGCTGTAACAATGCCGTATATCAAAGAAATAGTGGTCATGACAACAGACGACAAGCTATCATGTGTCCGCAGTATTAAAGTGGATAGGCAATGCTATTGTATAGACTTTAATCAGGATTGTCTTTATGTTGCTTGTTTGTCTCCTCCTAGTGTGATTGTACTGAATACACCAGGTGATATCCTGAATAACATCTCTCTGAACTTTCTTTCACCTGACTATATACCGTATATTGCTGTGAGAAAGGATTCCAAACTTCTGTATATCAGTGACTTTGATAACGACAATATAACGAGTGTATCATTACAAGGGAAAGTTACAGCTACATATAAACATACAGATCTTAGTGGACCATGTGGAATGTTGATGTTAGATGACGGGGCATTACTTGTCTGCTGTTATAAAAATGGAACAATTCATAAAGTCAACGGAGACTTGAAGCATGGGAAGATAATGTATAAAGGTGAAGATGGAGACCTTCTTCAATCAATATGCCATAGTTCACGCTATGCTGAGATCTATGTTGGTTGCATTGGAGACCAGTTGAAAGTTTTAAACACACAATGAACACTGCATTCATTTTTCATTGATTTGAAAACGGAAGAGTGCATAAAATCATGTGGTAATTGTTCTTTATTATAGAAAAGGTACAATTATAAAAGAACTTACAGGACTTTAAGACATTTATTCCATTATTACTGTAACATTTAAACTTGTAAATTATGATTCATATCTTGATCAAACTTATATCACATTGATTTCAATGCACTGTAATATAAATGGTTTTATGTTTAACATGTTTAAAATATCTATGGCAAACGATGATATTATTGTTAGCTTGTCAAATTGTTAGCTCTACAAAATGATAATATTTTATGTTAGAAAAGGTTTATTCCTTCGCTAAATGTATTGTATATAATACGGATGAAAGCTTTTATAACCAAGACTGCTATGAGGTCTACATGAGGTAATGTTATATTTTAAATATCTTAAACATGACCAAATATCTTGTCAAATGGCTTTATAAGGAATATTTTTTAAAGCTACAGCACAATTTATTTATTTAAAAAAAACAACTGAACACTGTTTGCACATTTAAAGAAAACTGAAAATTGTTTACATATTAAAGACATTTTCTACAGTTTTATGAAAATTAAATCCTTTCATAGAATTTTCTAAATTTTTTGTATGATTAGTAAAATTTAATGACGAATTCAAAAATAAAAAGAAAAATATATGTTGACGTGTTGGATTTCTTGTAAAATGGCAGTTTCCATGGTAACCGTATATCTCAAAACTGTCAAAATAGCCAAACTGTGTTATAACAAATAGAAAATGTATAAGATAGCTTAATACACACAACAAGCATTGATTTATGCAAAGATAACCTTATCCAATGTTTCTGAATGAAACAAATGATAATCTGAACATATTTCTTTAAAAACTGAGTTTTCCATGTTCCTGAACCGAACAAAAAATGAGAAAAATAAACATGAATTCTGTGAATAATTAAAGATATTGAAAAATTTCTTTCATATGATTTTCTAATTTTGTGTAAAATTTAATGACGAATTCAAAACTGAAAAGAAAAATATATGTTGGCGTGTTGGATTTTTTGAAAAATGGCAGTTTCCATGGTAACCGTATATCTCAAAATTGTCAAAATAGCCAAATTGTGTTAAAAAATGTATAAGACAGCTTATTACACACACAATAAACATAATTTTATACAAAGCTTGCTTTATCTTAGGGTTCTGAATAAAACAAACGATAATTGGAACATATTTCTTTAAAAAATGAGTTTTTCATGCTTTTTAACTAAACAAAAAATGAGAAAAATAAACATGAATTCTGTAAAAAATTAAAGCTATCAAGAAATTTCTTTCATAGAATTTTCTACATTATTGATATATCAAGTAACATTTAATGGTGGATTCAAAAATAGAAATAAAAATATATGTTGACGTGTTAGTTTTTTGTAAACGGGCAGTTTCCATGGTTACCGCATATGCCAACGGTCAAAATTACCACGCTTTCTTAAGAAAGATCAGTGATATACTAAAAGTATTGTCGAATATACAACAAAAACATGTTGTAATAAAAATTTCTTTTTCTTTTGATGTTATATTAGGAAAATGATACTGAATATGTTTTTAAAACATATTTAGGTCCATATTATTTTTTCACTCGACTAACATACCCGAACAGTAAGCAAGTATTCAGAAATTTACAAAGAAAATAATGAAATTCGGAACATTTCTTAGATATTCATTTTGATTTTTATTCAACACTTTTAAAATATATCACTTTAAACTTCTTTGCCCAGTTGTCTGCCAGTAATCAAGTGGCGACGCACTTTCGTCACTATACCACAAGTGGGTGGGGTAACGCGCGCAGAATTATCATCAATGCTGTCGTACTAATGCTAGGAGAAATCCTTTATCTGATATTGTCTAAACGACTTGTTATTCTTTTGAACGGATCTCCTCCTGAACATTTAGAAATATCTATTCTGTATTTTTTACTCATTATTTGCTTATAGCCGAAATTTAAACACTTATCCGAATACTATTCAACTTGACCTTCTTTTTGAAGAGTAATTATCCGTGATTATCTTTCTTGGAAGCGCATAACGATGCGCACAGAAAACTACCGAAAACGTCTTAAACAGTAGTCATGTATATAGATAAAATAAACGTTATGATTACACGTGCGTAGTACTATGTAAATAATATTTTATATTGCTGCAAGCATCACCGATTAGCTTTCTTTACGAAAGAAATAACGTTAAAAGAACAAAATCAAAGTTGTTAAGTGTAAGTATCCTATGTGCTGAACCAATGATCAGGGTATTAAAGATTTTTTTGTATAATGTGATACAATACAGTAGTGCTTATACTTACATGCAAGATATAGCATTTTTAAACCGCTAGTTTGTTGTTATTAAATGTCCGATTTTAAAAATTATTATCAATAGAAAGATGAGATCTTAGCTTTGTCACAGTTTATAATTTAACAAATCTTTTGACACAAAATTATTTAAATTAACTGTTAAACCTACCATATGTCAGACCATTTTACATACGATTTATACAGTGAGAAACGCAACCGGTTATCTTTACTCGAAACGCTACTGATAAGAATAGCTTGTCTTCTGCTAGATCGGTTGCAATTATAACAGCTGCTGAATCGGCTTTCCTGGATAACTTTCCAGTAATTATCAACTTCCGACTACGTATTTATCAAATATTATGATTTAGCTGGATGCCTTACAAGTATAGTAGAAATCCTACTTATATCCACCCGGCATTAGGAGCACCGCGAAATTAGGACCGTTACCCTGTTGAAACCAAAAGAGATCACCCTTTGCCACCAGTAGAGAGCCAGTCCAGCCTGCACACCCATACTAACTAACATTATATTTTTATCATAGAATTTGAAAAATTTATCGGTAAATGAAAGTAAGAATAGTTCAATTCAGAAACTGAACAGTTTAAAAGTCACGTGGTGAATACAAAGTCATTAAGTGTTTTTGCAATAACGTAAGATAAATCGTTATTGATTGGGTCATTAATTGGTTTGACTAATTGATTGGTAAGTGTATATTCAGGCTCACAGACATGTACATAATATTCTGATCAGATATATTTACACACAATTTTTATTTTCATGTCATAAATTCTGATCAGATATATATCACACACAATTTTTATTTTCATGTCATAAATATTATAAGTAGTAAATAGGACATTTTCTAATCATGTCTAGTAGTTGATTTTAACAATTCCTATTGTGAATTGTTTAAGTATAAGTTTCGTTCCGAATAATACGAAAGTAAAGTTAATGATCATATTGAATTGAAAAGTTGCATCCTTGAAATATGTCATGATGTGCTACCGTCATTTAACGCATCCACTAGTTTGCTCTTGAGATTTAAATTTCCAAGTTTTAAAATGTCGTCCGGTATTTTAATTTGATATATAAAATCCTCTGTGGTATACATCAACACATCTGTTTTCTAGCTCTGTCAAAACACTGCTTTTGTCATTTCATAAATCACATTCTTTCTTTTTTCTCATTTTTTCATCTTAATTAGTAACAGGAAAAATCAAAACCATAGTTTTCATGATCACGTGACGTGTTTCCGTGACGATTATTCCAGTCTTTTCCTGTAACAACAGGTCTTGGTAAACGAACAGGTTGGACTTGGGAGATTTCATTTAAAAATGATTGCTTTCTCCAAATCCTTTGCTGGATACTAGGACCTTGGCTTTTGTTTCTGGTAACCTGTAAACACCACTGATTGTTGGCAGATATGACACTTGTTTTTGGCTTTGCTGTTAATAATAATACATTAACAAAAATGTTTAGTAATTGAAATTGATATAAGAATCATGGAATAAACTCAATTTTCATATCATATTATTGTTCTTATTGCTCCCGAGGGAGTATCACTTTTACGGATTTTTGAAACATATCATTAACTTATGGCACTTATTGGTGCAATCAATTTTCATGAAAACTCAAAAATCAACAATACTATCGACAGAATAACAAAGGAACAAAAAAGTTTTTATGGTTTTGATTAATGTATATTCTTTCCTTATTCTATTCAAAGCTATTGATATTGTGGAAATGACGGGATTTTGAAGGGATATAGAATACTAGCCGACCAATCAAAAACAAAGTTACATAAAATAAACATCATGTGTAAATTAAATTATTAAAGTCAGCATACCTTCTTTTTGACAAATAAAAAATTCATATTTTCAGCATTCTAATGAGTATTTACAAGCTTTAGAAAGAACATAAAAATGCTGAAAATAGGCAAACAAGTCATGTGTTTTCCGTCCGCTTGTTAAGGGTTTGTGTGCGCGACGAAAGGAAATTGGACAATTTACCAAATGACAAATTTTAGTTTGGTTAAATATTAAGACAGTAATTGTATGAAGCATCAACGAGTATCGAAGTCTATGGAGCTGACTTATGAGATATAACCAAAGTGGAAAGGTCTGCAATGGGCACATTTTCCATTAGTTCTTCAACTATTGATAAAACAATAGAAATGTGTCACTTGAAATTTCGTTTAATATGCTGTTGGAAAAAATGTTTATGTTGTTCAAGGTGATTTAGAATGACCATTTATATGATGACATATAATAAAAATATGTTTGTTCGAGAACATTTTATTATATATTTGCTATATAAATAAATATATGTAATATAGGATCATGTATGTCACACTTACCAATAACTTAAGTACATGTATAACTCTTTCATGGTTTGTTGTTATGTCCAATACTAAACACTAGTAATATAATTATTCATTGTAGTACAGACGTTCAATTTTACACCAATTCACTTAAATCAAATCATCAAAAGTGAATAGAAAATGGGAAATTTTACCGACATTTTAGCAACATTTTACCGAAATAAGAAGTATAGAGAAATATTCAAGAAATACATACCTTTTAAACGAGAACTTTTATATTTACAAATTCGTGACATCCAAAATAAAATGGTTGCTATGTACATTACACTTCCGGTTGATAGAGATGATATAACGAGTATCACACTTTTGTTGTATTCGTCATCAGAACATAGGGTTTCCATGGTGATTTATGTCGTTTAATTTGTTCTTTGTATGCAAATATAAACAAACAAAAAACCATGAAAAATTTACGAGGAATATGCCTTTGAAATTAATATCTTTATTTTTTTTTACAGTTTGGTCATATCTCTTCTTTGAACAAAATGTTCTTTTCCTACGCTTAAAACGCATTTGAACGTTCTAAGCAACGTTAATATGATAAGATATATTTACATATATAGTTACAATAGCTATGCAATTAAGCATTAAACATGTTGATAGCAAAGAACATAAAAATAATCGTCGTTATTTTGAAAATAACTTAAAGTTATGATACAGTTACTGTGTAAAAATTGAATGTTTGGCTAATCATTTGGGTTTATCTTGATATTTATGTAAAACTCAAATAAACTATGTTCACTTACCGAACAGGTTTTAGTTTCTGTCAAAATGCGAAAAAAAAAATATTAATAAAAATTACATAAGCAATTTAAATCCGGCGGTGATCTATAATTAAGTCCATGTACCCAACCAAAGTTAATTCAAATTAGCAATATAAGTTTCATACTGATTTTCATATTCAATTTAAAGCATATTGTTTTTATAATTAACCGTGTATTACTCCAAGTAAAACTATCTGTCTAGAAAATTAAAAAGTTGTTGTTTTTATATTCCATTTTTATTGAAATAACTAGTTTGGTGACGCTACACATATTGATAACATTATTTCATTTATATAAAGGTGACACGTAATTATTTGATAGCGTAATTCTTATTATTACAACAATGTATTGTTTTACAAAACATTATTATAATAATCAAATAAATACTAAAGTAAAAAATGAATTCATTTACGTTTGTCGACAATAACTTGACAGTGTAGTAAAGAATATAAATATATACTAGTATATGACATAAATATGATTTTGCTTGACTTTTAGTTAACAGATATCTAATCTTAATAAGATCATATGATAAGTTTGTTTCTATCTGAAGATCAAACGTCACGTGATATTTATAAACGATTAAATTTATAATATGTGAAAAAAGAATTAATTATCAATGGCTTAAACGTTTTATTTCTAGAAGATCGCTTTTAATAGATTTACAGCATCTGCAATTAGTTTAAAAGCAAATATAATAATTACAAAATACATCGCCTTTAATTGGAGCTTTAAATTTTAATTGAAAAGATAACTTGCGCTTTATTATTGCGCTTAATGTATAACTAACAAAATAAAACAACTATTATCACATTTTGAAATCTTATATATCAATGTTCATGTGTTAATGGGATGGGCTGAAAGATCCATGATAACCGCGATTCAACACAATAGCGAATGTTTCTTAGTTCAAGTTTTTATCATTTTCATTTTAAATGTTAAATTCTGTCCAAATCGGTGCCCGGTGTTAGGGACGGTGGATGGTAGCTTGCACTTACCATAAATTTATTTTATGACAGAGACTGCAGTGATATAGTGCGGCGTTCTTTAAAGTTTCCATAATATCTATTTATTTTGATTTGATACAAAGTGGTTCATCATCTAACTAACCATATTATTTTTACATCGCGTAATTAGTTACTAACTTAATGTATTGATCGAAATTAAATTTTAAAATGTTATCATTCAAAAATGAAATTTTGATGGAATTGCTGAACAGAATTCCACTCTATACGTAGAATATTGTTTGCAATATAAATTTGATCCGTGTTTAAATCTTTAAAAAAACATATTTAGCAGGGATGGCGTTTTGAAGTAGATTGGTCTACAACGGGCACATTTTCCATTAGAATTTCATATTTGTATGAAAACAATGAAAATGTATAATTTGGATATTCTGATAAATATATCTTGAAAAAGGAATGTTTATTGAGCTTTAAGTGATTAACTATGAACTTTTATATGTTGAATAAAACTATTTTGTTCTAGAACAATTTATTATCTGCTATTTAAAGATATGTTATATCGGATCTTGTATCTCACACTTATCAAAAACATATATAATTAGTTCGTAGTTTGGTAGCAGGTATGATATCAAATATATCAACATAATTATTTACGGCATAAAAGACCTTTCATTATGAACAAATCCACTTTAACGGTTTCTTTGTCATATATTTGACAAATGAATATTGTTTAAAGTTACATTGTAAAATGTAAGCAAATAGTAAATATAGTACTGTTACAGAAAAATATTTCTTAATGCAAGTTTATGATGTTGGACTAAATATGGCATTAGCGTAATTGTTTAATGTTTTAGATGCCGTTAATTGTATCAGAAACAAATATATTTTTACTTCTTTAGAAAGGGAAAGCATGTATTGTATAACGTTTAGATAATGGTTTTACAAAATATTATATACTTGTTACGTGAACAAAAGGCCATAACCATAACTGTAAAATAATTCGTCATAAATTAGCAAATTGTATACAAAGTATTTTGATTTTCATACAAAATACTTATTCACCGAATTATTGACAAAAAAGCAACGAATGCAAAAGATGGTTCAGGAAATTGGCCAATGAGTAAAATTTTGGATATTATGAAAGTGTCCAACATTATAAAACTTTTTTGAAATAAAAATAAAAGTATTTCTAAGGCATAATGATCATTTAATTAAATATTCAGATATCTCAACGTTTCCCTGTAAGTTCTTGTTGTTCTAAAAACATTTGAAACACACACGTTGTTAAGATTAGGACATAGAATAGAAAAATAATTAAAAGCTTTTTAATGTAAGCTCTGTTTCTTACCAAACTTTTTATTTTTACGTTGACAAATTTATCCATACAAAGCATGTTAACAAACTCCACTCAACTTTATTAGGTATCTACGAGGGACGGTCAGAAAATATCCGGACTTTTCATGCTCCCCTCTTTCCACGTGCAGCTATATACACACATTATATATTGGTGAAAATACATTCATTCGCCAATAACGTGGTCAGATTATTTTCAATGATAGTTGTGTATACACAGTATTTTGCCCTCTGATATATGACAGGTGTTTCGTCTATCATCGACTCTTTGTTAGAGGAACAACGCTCTGTAATAAAGTTTCTGGTTGTATAAGGTGAAAAGCCCTGCCACATCTTTCAGAGGCTTAAAAAAGATTTTCTGATAAATGTGTATCACGTTCAACCTTCTACAACTGGGTTTCTCAGTTTCGTGAAGGCAGAACAAGTGTTTGTGACAGGCCTAGGAAATGGCGGCCAGCTGAGGCGGTGACCCCAACAATGGTAGCAAATGTTAAAGCTTTTGTCAACAAAAATCGTAAAGTAACTTTGGAAAAGGTAGCCAACAAGTTTAGCATCGGTAAGGCATCGGCACACAATATTTTACACGAACACCTAGGCATGAGCACGGTAAGTGCCAGGTGGGTGCCTAGACAGCTGTCCGCAGATCAAAAGGCAACCAGAGTAACCAATGCAAAAGAACATTTAAGTCGTTTTAATCGTGAAGGAGATAAGTTTTGAACCGCATTATCACTGGAGATGAGATGTTGGTTTATTATTCCGAACCTGAGACAAAAGCTCCGTCAAAGCAGTGGAAACTAGCTAGTTCCCCACCTCCTAAAAAGTTTAAGCTGTCTCCTTCGGCTGGCAAAGTCATGCTTGTTGCCTTTTGGGATTCACGAGGAATGATACTTACTCATTTCATGCCAAAAGGTCAAACTGTCACCGCCAAGTACTATTCTGAAGTAATTCTGAAAAATCTCAGAGATAAGCTGAATCAAATGTGTCCCAGGTTAGCA